AGCTGCACGCGCAAACAGCAGGGCCGGGTCCCCTCCCGTTCGCTCGGGAGCAGCTCGGGGGCCCGGGGAGGGAGCAGCGAGGACACAGAAGGTCTTGGCTGTAACTGGTTTGGTGATTAGTGATCAGGGAGAGCTGGGGCAGGGGGAGCAGGGACCCCCCGGGTTCATGAGGTCCCAGCTGCTCCCAGGCTGGAAGGGCTCTTTGACATTTCACCTGGGCTTAACTACCAGGGAAGTTGTTCCTCTGGAAGGTTCTGCTGCAGCGCAGGTGGGTCCCAGAGCTCTGTCAAACCCCTTTCTACTCACTTAGTAAGCTCACAGTCTTTGACAGAGCAATTCTTGCTCCAAAGAACTCATGGAGGCCTTGAGAGATCCTGCCAGCCACGCTGTGGGATCAGCTCGCCCTGTATTGCCCTGATGGAGTTCCCAGGGTCAGGCAAACCTCCCGTGGCAGCAATTCCCTGCTGTTCCCAGCAGCCTGCTGTCAATCACCTGCATCCCAGTGCTGAGCAGGTCCCTCGGGTCACCCAACAAGCTGTTCCCTTCCCCTGCAGGCACAGGAGTCCCTGTGAAGGCAGAGCAGTGGGCAGCACAGGCCTTTATTGCACCGTTCCCACTGGCACAGAGGCCTCCACACAGGCCAGGCAGCTCTGGGTGTCCTCCCTGGACACATTCACAGAGCCTTTACAGGCTTCCTACACCTTCCAAACAGTTCTCCAGCCAGGGTGTCAGCCTGCAGCCCAGCTCCTTCAGCTCTTCAAGCAGCTGGCTTCCCTACCCCAGCAGCAATAGGTTTCCATCACTTGCCCAGGAAACAGCAACTCCTTCTGTCACTTGCCCATTCTTCAGAGAGCCCACCAGTGCAGTCACAAAGGAGCTTTAGGCAATTTGGTTTGCAGAAACCAGGCCCTGCCCTCTGCTACCACAAGGAACAGACATTAACAGTCTCGGGCACGTCGTCCTCGAGGGTTTCAGTGAAGCCATCTCCAAAGCCCTCTGCTTCCACCAGCTCAGGCTTCTTGTTGCACATGGGGCAGAGCTGGTTGCGGATGGCAGATGATCTCATCCAAACAATGAGGTTCCAGCGTTCCCCAGAGGCAATGGGAAGGGCCCCATGGATCTGCCCTCCTCGGTGCAACAGCCCCTGGGCTGCCACGTGCTCGATCTCGATGTACTTCGGCACAGGGGTTGGATCCTGGAACAGAGGGAGGTGGGTGCAGTGTTACACCCTGAAGTCCTGAGCAGGACAGTGCTCAGATGGTTAAGACTTGTCACCTCTGCACCCACAGCACAGGGAGGATTCACAGCACCTCTAAAAGGCAGCTTGACCCCTTTAGTACAAGTGTTTGCAAGTGGGACGTTCTCAGGGCCAGGCCCAGAGGGAATTTAAAGACAGTTTCAAAAAAACCCAGCCATTTCACCAGCCCAAGGGTGCTTTACCCATCTGAAATCAATTAAATTCTCTCTCGGCACCTCCCTGCTCATTATTGCAGCTGGCAAAGATGGGCTGGTTGGTGTCACTCCAGCTTCTACTACATAAGTGGCTTCTGCCCTATTTGAATTAGCTGCAATTAGCTGGAATATTGGTCATGTGCTTCTGTACAACCAAGGTATTTTTACAAAGGGGGAAGGGGTAGAGCAGGTTTGACTGTCAGAAATGAATAACTGTTCTTCAGAGCACAATTCATGCCTTGAAATGGGGGAATGGGGGGGTACAGTGGGGAAGACAATGGGGGCCCAGGTTAGGAATCTGCTCCATACCTGTCTGAAATCCCCGAAGTACAAGTTGCCTTCTGTGAAGTCTTTTCCCAGGGAAACATTCAAGGTGACTTCTGAGTTGTCATAGTGAGAGCTCAGATCCAGATCTTCGTGCAGTGAGTACTTGACAACAAAAGCCTTGTGGCTGTCCAGAGCAGAGCCCCCCAGGTCAGGGTAGAGCAGGGCCGTGATGGGCCGCAGGTATTTCTCACGCAGGGGGGTGATGAATGTCTCATCCATCCCAAGCTCATTTAGCAACACCTGTCTCAAAGAGAGGAGATGGGAAGAGCTGAGCAGCCACAGCTTCATCAGAGCTGCCTCCTCTTCCAACCCTGCTTCTTGTTCAGACAAAGAACTGAAGAGCAAATGCTCCAGCTACAGGCTATGGAAGGAGGATCAAGGTGGAAAGTGATGGGAAAAGAGCAAGATGAAGAGGTGAGTGGTCTTTAAAAACTGACTCCTGGATTTAAATGTGTCTTTCTTAAATCCAAGGTGCTCTGAGCCCTGAGATACCAGCTCCCATCTCCTTTCCCTGCCCTTTCATCCATAAAACACATTCCCCTTCACTTCAAGGGGGCTGTGCTCTGACTGCTCTGTGCTCCAGTCACAGGCGTTTTGGAAGGAAAAGGGTGTGTGAAGCAAGGAAGTAAAGAGTCTGCTTGTGAACACTCCCCCACCCCCCAACAAAGAAGCACAAGCTGGTCAATCCTACCCCATACTTATTCATAGTGTTGGGCCTGCCTTTAGGCATGTCTGACTGCTCAAAGTTCTCCAGCTCCTCGACAAGGGCTTGGCAGAACTCCTCTGTGAACACCGGGAGCCGGTAGATCCTCTTATCTGTCGAGAGAAGGGAGATCCTGTTTGCTGGGGAAAATCACAGGTAAGAGTGTTCCTGGCTGTGGGGCTGCCTGGCTGCACTGTGCTGGTGTCACTGAGAGCTCAGTGCTGCACTCTGTCCTCAGGCTGCTCAAAGGGCTGGAACCATTCCCTGGGATCAGCTCTGGGATGTATTTGTTGTTTTTCATGTTGACCCCTTGTTTCCAGGCTTCCCCATCCAGTCAGGAGAGCTGGCACTGAGTTACAGGCCTGCTGAATGTGCTAAGGAGATTATTTTGAGGGTCCAGAAGGAGGGTGGTGAGTCAACAGCTCATCACAGGCAGCCCAGATACAGCCTCTGGGAAGATGGAGACTCAGGGTCATTTAGGAGACAGGAGATTCACTCATCCAGTGCCAACCTTCTGGGAAGACCAGGCCCTTGGAGCTGCCTGTCAGGGTGGAGCCCTAAGGGTCTGTGTAAGGGGAGCTCTGCATGGAGAATGTGGAAGCTGAGATAAAGCCAGAGTGAAAACACGTTTGTGGCTGGCTTTTTGTCTTGACACAAGGAGGCAAGTTTGCAGCTTCCCCTCTACATTTTGGCAGCATTTCTGGTAGGGAGAAAGCTTCACAGATGCCTCTGAGGAAGCTTAAAACCCAGATCTTTTTTTAAAAGACTGAAAACTAGACTGAAAGTACTTCAGCTCAGACTAACCAGCAAGGATTGTCTGAAATGGTAAAGCATTTGGGGAGAGGAAACCAAGCTCCCCAGGCTAACAGTGTTCCTTCAGCAGGCTCCTCCAGGAGGCTGTGGGACAACCAAAACCCCAGCCCTGCTGCAGCCAGAGCCTCTGATGAGACATCAGCAGACTGGGATTGGAGAAGAAGAAACCAGGATCTCATCCAGAGCACAACTGCTGCACAAAACTGCCTCTCCAGAGACCAGGGAGAAAGCGGCAGAAAACAACATGCTGTTTGTCTCAGCTGGGTATCCACTCTGAGCTGTTTAAGACAGGGCTTTGAAAACCTGAAGCTGCAGCATCACACAGGGAGATCTTGGTGGCTGAGGTGTTGTTTCCTTTACCTGAGAAGGCCTGGAGGTAGGGCAGGAGGCCGCCGAGGTGAGCAGCGGGCGACGTGCAGTACCTCACGATTGCTAGAAAATCTGGGGCCAGGAATGAATCCTGGCACCCAGGGATGACAGAAATAGAGAGAAGCACAATTAGCCTGCACAGTCTCCTACAGCCCAAGAGGTAAATGGACCTCCAGTCAGCCAAGGAAAAACATGTAGAGTCTGTGGAGCAAGGCTGGGAGTCATGCTTGGGTTATTCCACAGCGGGAAGTGCAGAATGTTACTGGTGGGTTTCCTGGTGCTTTGGGTAAAGTTGCTGCTCACTCAGGTTCATGGGTTTCCAAGTATAGCTGGCCAGATTTATCCTTAGCCTGGCTCACCTCCTGGACTCCTTACAGGTGAATGCAAAGTCTTTCCTAGCAGATTTAGCACCTTGTTTTGGCCTCAGCACCACAGAGTGAGTGTGCTGGGAGCCCTTACCCACACAGATGAGACAGGACAGCAGGACAGACAGAGCAGAACCTGCTACTGAAGGGTCACAGTGCAGGAGATGTGTGTGAAGCCCTGTGTGTCTGTCACTGCTGGTCTGTGCTGATTATCCAGCTGGGAAGTCTCAGGTCTGGTGAGGAAAGTTCAAAGCTGAAAATGAGGAAATGCAGAGGGGCCCACAGCAACATGGGCTACCCTATGTTTGGGGTAGGGTGTCCACAGACCAGCAGCCACCTCCCACCCCCATCAGCTGATGGAGAACATGCTGCACTGCCAAGGCTTTTCATTCAGTTGGAATATGCTACACTTGGGTTTTAATTGAGTTTTAAAATTTGGTTTTCATGGCATGGTTTGGGTTGGAAGGGACCTTGAAGATCTTTCAGTTCCAACCCTTCCCATCAGACCAGGTTGCTCCAAGCCCCATCCAACCTGCCCTTGAACACTTCCAGGGATGGGGCAGCCACAGCTTCTCTGGGTAACCTGGGCCAGTGTCTCAGCACCCTCACAGTGAAGAATTTCCTCCTCAAATCCAACCTAAGCCTCTTCATTCAGCCCAACTCGAGCACTGGGAGCGCTCCCAGTAAGAGGGCTTCCTGCTGCAAAAGGAGACTGCTGGGCAGCCCCGTGGGTGTAGAACAGCCCCCAGAGCTGCTGTCTACCTGCAGCACGTAGACTTCTGGGTGCCTCTGCCTGTAGCACCTGCAGATGATGGCTCTGCGTTCCACCGCCTGCCGGGGCAGCTGCTTCCTTCTCTCCACTTCTGCCTCCACCTACAGGTGAACAGCAGAGCACATGGTTAGTCCAAAAGGGATCCCTAAAACAAGCTCAGGAACTTGCTCATTGGTTTAGACCAGTTATTTTTGTTCTGGGTACCTCTGGGAGACAGAGTCTTTGTTTTTTTTTCTGTAGTCAAATCCAATAAATACCTGAAAAGCCACATTCCTCAGGGGGATGTGAGACACATCTCATTATGGATGGCTTAAAATCAACAACTGAAGTCTTCCCAGGGATGCTCCAGCTGGGAGGTTTCAGCTCTTGCAGGCATTCTGACACCTCATGAATCACCAGCCTATGCTCCAAGAGTCTGGCTTATGTTCTGATGATTATAAGCACTGTCCCAAATAGAGGCATTTGCTGGGAGGGAGACAGGGCTTGTCATGAAGGGATCACTGCTGAGTGTTGTGGGGACAGGATAATCTGTCATTTCAGAGCAAAGAGCTGTAGTGGCAGCTGATTCAGGCAGGTCTGCCTAGTTAGTAACCCCCCAGGAGGTTAGTTTATAACATCCTTTAGTAAAAATAGGAAGGAGGGTGTGAGCAGTAACCCCTGGTCAAGTGGGTAGCATAATTAATACCAATGTACAAGGCAAGCAGCCACTCTCTGTGACCAAGCAGGTCACCTGTTCATTTATATGATTTTATATTCTTTTATAGGATTTTAGAGTGTACATTATGATAGTTATATTGATACAGTAAATCTGACCTGATCTGCAGAGGGTCCAGGTGATGAGGAAGTTAAGTTAGGATGTAGGTAATTATAAACTAGACAAGGATCTAGAAATCATAAATTGTATTATAAATTCTGTATTCACTGATTCTGCTTGTAGCAATCCTGTGCCACTCTAGTCATAAATTCTGGACTATACTACTTATAATATCCTGTTAAGTATTAAAATGTTTAATTATAATTTATTGCTGTCACCCTCCTGCCAGGGGTCCCTAAAGGAACGTGTCTGTCCCCCCAGTGTCAGGTGAGACTGGAGCTGGTTGTGTGCCAGGTCTGTCCCTGGCCTGGGAAGAAAGAGAAGAAAAGATTCCTCCCTAAGGAAGGTCCTGGGGGCAGTTCCTGGGATAACCTAGGGCCCTTCAAAGGGAACCGAGGAAAGAAAGGCCGAGGAAAGACAAAATTCCAAGAGCCAGCTGACAAACCCCAGCTGGGGAGCAGCACAAGGCGTTGTCCAAGCGGTGTTGAGGTGCAGCGTTTGCTCCCGGGGTGCTGCAGGTGCAAACACACCCTGACAGTGTCCGGCCCCGCATCCAGGCGGGGAATGTTTTCCCTTCGGGCTCTGCCCAGACCCGGCGCCAGGAGCTGGGGGGGCTGCAGCGGCCCTGCCCGGCCCTCCCCGGC